ACCACAAATCCTAATGTCGGAATCTCCTCAAACAATATTAGTATATATTTAATATTTTATGCCCTAATTTTTATTTGTTCTCCCTTATGTCCCGTATTTGGTTTCAACCATACCTATACAATTATTTTATTGACAATTATAATCAATCTTGACTATATTATCTTGCATTTGTAAACTTAGAATTACCTATTTAATCCGCACAGGCTTAGCTCAATGGTTTAGTGGGTAGTATTTGGGAGAAGGGACCAAGGTTTAAACCTCGGCGGCGGCAGTGCAGGAATTATGTCCAAAGTTGGCAGATTCCTTGTGCGTATCAGCATTTGGCCCTGTCTGCTGAACCATTGAGTCACCGTGATTTACAACTTCCCACAATGCTCTGTCGGGTCGGAGTGTGGGGGGCCCTTGGGGTTGGGGACTCAACCTTTGGGCTTTGGGAGAAGAATTACCTATTTAAATACGCAAATTCAACCTTCAATTATCTATGCATGAACAATTTCAATATAATCACTACTGGAAATTCTGAAATTTCCGACACTTGAAAGTGATCATAAATCAAGTTGAAAGTCTTGTTCCGACCACTTTTGGTATCCGTAAAAACTTTTGTTGCTATTTCCGACCACTTTTTGAACTTTTTGGTATCAACTTAATTTAAAATCATTTTCAGGTGGTCGGAAATTTCAGAATTTCCAGTAGTGAATCCTGCCTTAATATACTTTAAAGTACTTATTTAAAAAAAAGCATTGGGCATTATCCCAATCGCGCAATGCGCGTAAAAAACTAGTATTCTTATATATCTTGAATTAACCAAATAATCCATACATTTGTTACTTTTTGAAAGATGCATGTGTGTGATACGTTTTACCAGTCAAGTAGCCAAGTAGGAGGATTCTTTTACCATAATTTTCAAATTTAATTCCACTTTCACATTCTAGAATCTCAGGACAACTTTTTAAAAAGTTTTACGCATTCTCTTAGCCCACATAATTCTATTAGGAAACGGTTAAAGATACCAATTAGAATTCCTCGAGTATGATTTCCAACAATTATTTCAGTTACGTTAAATTTATTAAAAATCATGACTCATTAACATAATTTTTGTGAATTGATTTGATATCGACACTAGTGTATAAATTGAGACGTTATAACTAAATATAAATTTGTCCCTTAAGTTGTCGATAAACTGCTTGTTTGGTAAAATAGTTAGCCTATAGGCTAATTTGACTTATTTGACCATTATTAACTTTTTGATTTGGCTAAAGAAACAATATAAGTGTTTGGTTAATTAGTTTTTTGTAATTTTAAAATATTAAAATTCAAAAAGCTGCTCGAAGCAATTTTTTTTTGAGTTAATACCTCCAATGGTTCTCCGAGTATTAGCGATTACCAGCTGTGGTCATCCAAGTTTTAAATGACCTCCAATGGTCCTCTATGTTTTAAAAAATTAACCACCTGTGGTCCTTTTAAGACGTTTCGTGGCTATTTTAAACTTGGAATTTTTTAAGAATTAGGACCACGAGTGGTTATTTTTTAAAACGTGAAGGACCATTGAAGGTCATTTAAAACTCCGATGACCACAACTGGTAAATTGTTAATACTCGGAGGACCATTGGAGGTATTAACTCCAACTTTTTCAATTAGCTTTTTGTGAAAGAAAATTATACCAAACAGCTATCAGCTAACAGCTAATTTACAAAACACCTTTTTACAATCAGCTAATGTTATCACCTAGTTATACCCTCTAATTAACACAATCAGCTAAGAGTTAACATCTATCAGCTAACAACCATTTACCAAACAGGGTCAAAGTGTTATTATAAAATACAATTTATGAATAGAAATATAGATTATTTAATTCTTCATGCGAGATCTTGTGTTATTAAAAAAATACAATAATTTAGGAGTGGAAATAGAGATTATTTAATTTCTTCATGCGAGATCTTGAGGAGAGGCCAGATTGTGAGAAAGATCTTAGGAATGATGTATTGATTAATTTACATGTTAAACAACAATGACAATTACAAAGGTTTCACGTCAAATAGGGTAAAGCTATCAAATGGAAGTCGTCAAATCAAATAATATTAAAAAAATAATAAAGAAAACTTTCCAAATGATTATTGTTGGAAAACATAACACAACATGAAAGAGTTTACAATTGATTGGTAAGGAGACTGACAAACACAATTACACAACTATGAGGAAAAGATTTGAAAGAAAGATCCTTAGCTTTTAACTTTACGTACCATCTTGTCGCATTGCTTGCCTGTTCTCGGGTTAATCTCCCAAAAACAAAATCTAAAAATTAAACAAAAATAAAGGAAATAAATATAAGAAAAACAATATATATTATTAATGTCTATTTCAATTTTTTTATTTGTTATTTAAAAAAGTTGTTAGCAATGTATTCCTTTTCAATCAAAGGATGCTTATATATAACTAGTATTCCACAGTATAAAATTAAATAACTTCATGTTGATAAGGTTTAAAAAATAATAATTAAAATGATAGAATAAATTATTAATCCTCAAAATTCATTGCTAATATATATTCTTTCTCTTGCAATATTGAATTGCTTGTTATATTGATTGTAACAAAATTTTAGCAAAAATTGTTATGGAGTATAAAACATTGCGTTATTATTGTATATCACACGAGATTTGAAAATTTTGAATTTAAATAATTTCAATGTACTTACAATATAAACATAATTATGCAAATTATACATACATAACATATTATTATGCATAGTCCAAATACTATATATATATATATATATATATATATATATATATATATATATATATATACACACACACACGCATACATGATACATCTAGAAGATAATTAATAATATTATTTTTTATTATGATCCACATAGCAGTTTGTAGACCATAATTCACACCATAATTTGCCTTGGTTAACACCATGCACTTGAAACCCACCACTTCTTCCTACTTTGGCACTCTTATTCGGGATGCTAAGGAATATAATTATCTTTTCACTTTATACATAAGCTTTTCTTTGTAAAGAGCTCTACAAAATGCGCAGCTCACATTCTTGTGAGATTGAGAAACCTTTTACATGATAAACCCTAGGGAATGACACTTAAGTCGCCCAATTTCTTTAATGATGTTTTTCTTATTCTTCCCAAACTTAATGATTTTTCCTTATGATCTTATTGGTAAATCTACTCTCTTTAATCAATAAATAAACGAAGTAACAGGTGTTAGTTTTTCTCAATTAAAATTTGACAAATAGAGATACAGATCAGATAAAAAAAAAAAAAACGCTCAAGTGCAAACATGCACCATGCAACACTACAAAATGCATCACCAGATACATAAAATTGCACTTAAACGATTACAATTTTATATATCACTAAATGCACTTCGTCGTAGTATTGTTTGATTCACTCAGGAGAGAATAGAGTTGTACGTAGAGAGTGAAGACTGATCATATCTATTCATTTGGCTGGATAGTTTAATAATTGAAGGTCTTTGAAAAATAAAGGAAAATAAGACTAGTCAATTTTATAAGTATTGAAAATTTAAAAGTTTACAAATTTTATAAAATTGACTCGTGTTTTTTAACTAAAATAATCAACTATTGGGGAACCCTAATCAACTCTGTGATCAGTTCTAATTTTTAAAAGATTGAGTTTTTTTGGGTAGATCAATTATAGGTTCAGGATCAGGTGCAAAGAAGGTCGTCTCAGGTAAAACATGTGTATAAATCTGAGTTGTTGATCTGAGTAGATCAACGGCTCTTCAAAATATCTACACTTCAAATCTACAAAAATGTCCACAAAAAAAGTGTACTCTAAGGGACATGCAAAAATGTGCACTCGAAGGAACAAAGATTTATACACTCGAAGGTCAAATTGTGCACTCGAAAACAAAAAAATTTACACTTGAAGGTACAAAAATGTGCCCTCGAAAATCAAAACTGTGCACTTGAGGGAACAAAGATTTACAATCGAAGCCCAAAATTGTGCACTGGCCCAAAATTGTGCACTCTAAGGCACAAAAGTGTGCACTCGATGGCTAAAATTATGCACTCAAAGGCACTAAAATGTGCACTCAAAGAGAGAAACTATGCACCCGAAGAGACAAGAATGTGCAATCAAAGAAGGAAAAATATACACTCGAAGAAGGAAAATAATGCACCAAAGACAACAAAAATATAACTTACACAAAATGACCATAATGCCACAACATTTCTTTTAAAAAAAAAAAATTTATGTATTCTGCATGGTTAATTTGGACTAGATCAATGACTTAGATTTAACCCTATTTTCTACCTGAACAACTATTTGCATTTAATCTTCTATATATATATATATATATATATATATATATATATATATATATATATATATATATATATATATATATATATATATATATATATATAGAGAGAGAGAGAGAGAGAGAGAGAGAGAGAGAGAGAGATCGAGTTTACCCCTTAAAATAAAACATACAAAAACATGCATGCGCCCTGCGCGTGTATTGGTGTTTGGCCGGTGAAAGGTATTAGGACTGTATGTATTTGAGTTAGTCTATGACTTCCTATCCTAGTCTCCCTATGATTCTACTTGTATATATATACAAGATCTGTACTTTTGTAATCACATTCATTTAATACAATTGTATAAGTTCTCATCTGATATCAGTTTAGTTAGGGTTTGTTTCCTAATGGCTGACGGATCTGTTAACTCTTCAGAACGGATCGTCTCTAATGTTGTTGCTTCTGCGGTCACATCAACTGTGAATTCTTTATCCACTGCTCACCACTTTATCAGTATCAAACTGACCTACAAGAACTTTCTATTTTGGAGAGCCCAGGTTGTTCCTTTCCTTGATGGTCATGATTTGATGGGGTTCGTTGATGGTACGACCCCATATCCGCCCACGTTTCTTCCCGGCGAGGACGGTGCATCAGCGCAACCCAATTCTGCACATCGTGCTTGGGTTTGACAAGATCAGGCCCTCTTATCCATAATCATGTCATCACTGTCCGACGAGGTGATATTGTTGGCCATCGGACATCAAACCACCCAGAGCGCGTGGAACGCCGTCGTCACCTCGCTGGCTTTGTCGTCCCATTCCAGGTCCTTAAATCTCTTCAGACAGTTGCTGTCCCTTCAGCAAGGACATGCCTCAGTAGCGGACTACATCGCAAAAGGTCGGATCTTGGTCGAAGATCTCACCCTTGTCGGACGGCCGATCTCCCTTGAAGAACAGAACCTTTACGTTCTCAAGGGTTTGAGGCTGGAGTTCCGAGGACTGGCGTCATCTCTCAAGGTTCGCGGACAGCCAGTAACCCACCAGGAGCTCACTGATCTCTTGGGGACAAAGGAGTTTCTTTCCGGGGGTTATAGAGGCTCCTTGCTGACAGCCTTTGCAGCGCATCGTGGCGGTGACCAGTGTGGGCAAGGGGTTCAGTCCCGTGGTGGAGGCGGTCGAAATTCCGACCAGAGCAGTGGGCAGTCCGGTCAATCCCGCGGTAGTGGTGGTGGCTGGAACCGTGGTGGCGGACGTCGAGGCGGAGGCAGAAACAGAAATTGGCAACCTAAATGCCAATTGTGTGCAACACTTGGTCATACAACAGTTACGTGTCATCTACGATATGCAAAAGACCCTCAGGCTAATGTTGTATATCAGGAATTTCCTTCGAACTCCACTCAGGGTTCTCATATTTGGCTTGCAGACACGGATGCAACCGATCATGCCTCCCCAGATATAGCTGCCATTTAATTTCCACCTCAAAGGAGTATAATAGTAATGACACTTTGCGTGTCGGTAATGGTACAAGTTTATCTATTACTCCTGTTGGTCATGCTTCCTTTAATACCCCTTCTAGGTATTTTCAACTGTCAAATATTTTTCATGTTCCTACGTTATCTACCTCTTTATTGTCTGTTCAAAAATTTTCCTCTAATAATAAAGTGTTTTTTGAGTTTCACCCCTCTTTTTTTGTTGTAAAGGATATCAACACCAAGGAATTTCTTTTACGGGGCAATAGCTCTAGGGGCTATACACGCTGCTAGTAACAAGTTCGTCTCCTTCTGCGTTTCTTTCTGCTCGTGTCTCTTCTTCAGTTTGGCATAGTCGCCTGGGTCATCCACATCAAAGTGTCCTTAGTCGTATTCTTCAATCTTGTTCGGTTAGTGGGTCTAGTAGTACAATTCATTGTAATTCCAGTTTATGCAGTGCATGTTAATTAAGAAAATCTGCCCGTTTTCCTTTGTCTCGTGTTGAGTCTTCTAGTTCGAATGTTCTTGATTTAATATATACTAATATTTGGAGTCCAGCTCCTTTCTTGTCTGTTGATGGATGTCGCTACTTTGTTATCTTTGTAGATGATCACTCTAGATATACATGGTACTATCATATGAAACTGAAATCTGCCATCTATGCTATCTTTGATAAATTCCGTGCTCTAGTTGAAAGATCATTCAATCGTAAAATTAAGTCTATTCAATCTGATTTAGGAGCCGAGTACAAAAAGTTAGACACTTTGTTTGTTCAACTAGGGATTAATCATAGACAATCATGTGCCTACACTCATGAACAAAATAGTCGTGTCGAAAGGAAACGTAGACATATTGTTGAAACTGGCTTGACTCTCTTGGCTCATGCCTTTGTTCCAAACAAATTCTGGATTTTTCCTTTGAGACTGCTGTTTATTTGATAAATAGATTGCCCTCTGTTGTTTTAAATAACTCCAGTCCTCATCTTATGCCACATAAATCTCCTCTGTCCTACTCTTTTCTTCGTGTCTTTGGATGTCTATGTTATCCCCGTTTAAGACCTTACAATCGTCACAAAATGTCCTATAGGTTTTCTCCTTGTGTCTTCTTAGGTTATCCAGAGTCTTTCCGGGGTTATAGGTGCATGAACTTACAGACTAACAAGGTTTGTGCGCAGGCATGTTCGGTTTGATGAAGGGATTTTTACCTTCGCTACTAAAAATATTTTGCAGGAATCGTCAACTAGACAGAACCAGCCGTGGGCTGAGTCCATCCTTCAGCCTCATCCCATGACTTCTTCTCCTGTTCGGCCTGACCAGCCCGCTCCGGCTCAGCCAGTTCCACCCGAACTAGAACAGGCTAACCAGCCCAAGCCGCCTGCTTCATCGGTTGCACCCGCTGCTTCAATAGTTGCACCCACTGCTCGTCCTCGCGGCCGACCACGTGGGCGGTCTACTCGTCTCACGGTTCGATCACATGCCATAGCCACACAGAGTCGGTCACAAGTTCCACCTACAGTTCTGACTGCACAGGTATGTCTCACTGAACCTACATGCTACACTCAGGCGGTTAAATATCAAGAATGGTGTAAGGCAATAGATCAAGAGTTCAATGTTCTTCTTCAAAATAAGACATGGTGCCTTGTTCCATCTAAATCAGACATGAACGTTATTGGGTGCAAGTGGATCTTTCGCACAAAAAAGGAAAGCAAATGGTTCGATTGAAAGATACAAAGCAAGGTTAATAACTAAAGGATTTAATCAAGTACCTGGGTAGGACTTCTTTGATACTTTTAGCCCAGTTGTGAAACCCACTAATGTCAGGTTACTTCTCTCTTTAGCTATATCATCTGGATGGACTATTAGACATCTTGATGTTCACAATGTTTTTTTGAATGGACACTTATATGAAACTATTTATATGAAACAACTACCTGGTTATATAGATATTCAGTTTCCTAACCATATCTGTCTTCTGAAGCGTTCTTTATATGGGTTAAAACAAGCCCTTAGAGCTTGGTTTAATCGTCTACATGCGTTTCTACAGTCAGTTTGTTTTAATGCTTCGAAAACAAATCTGTATTTTTTCATTATTCCCAAGATTATTTTTTTGTGTATGTTTTGGTCTATTTTGTTGACTTACTTGTGATGGGGAGTAGTACGAATCTAGTCATTGAGCTATTGACTAAACTCTCTACTGAATTCAAGATTCGGGATCTTGGTGAACTTGATTTTTTTTTCTCGGGATTGAGACTATTAAATGTGATAATGGAATCTTGCTTTCCCAACAACTATACATGATAGACATTTTAATCGTGCTAGTATGATAGATTGTAAACCTTTAGCCACTCCTATATCTGTTTCGAAACCTACTTCTCTCAATGCAGTTTTATATGAAGATGCTACAATAAGCTTCAAGTATCTACATGATCACATATATACATTTATGCCTCATACATAATTATATATGTACATATTCTCAAAATTTAGTTTAACATTTATCAAAACATATATGCTCATAAGTATATAATTCTAGAAATGGAGTTTTCTTGGCAAATCATAGCTTTTGGTAGTTTAAACCCTTCTCAAACATATTTATGATTTTTATAAAAATACTTTTAAATTTAAGTAACCCTTCAAGCCCAAATAATATAATATATACTCCAAGATATTTCTTAAAGTTTGAAGTAGCTCAAGTAGAAGGGATTTTAATTATTAATTAAGAGGTTAGGGGTTCAAATCCCACTTTAAACATTTTTCTAAAGTATAACATAGCATAAATAAAACTAAAACTAAACAAAGGTTGCTGCATTCGATCCTAGGCATAACAAAGAACACACTAGTTCTCTAACTAGTGTGCTACAACGACCCCCCTTAGTAACAAATTTCCATGAGATCCGTTACTAAGCCCCGTTGGCTGTGCTACAACGACCCCCCTTAGTAACAAATTTCCAATTTCCACGAGATCCGTTACTAAGCCCCCCCTTAGTAACAAATTTCCAATTTTCACGAGATCCGTTACTAAGCCCCGTTAGCTGGCGGGCGCCCTTCGCTTATACAACTCTGATCAGATGCTCAAACCCCACAAAATTACACAGCATATCAGCAACAAATAGCTTAGATTTCATCATTCTAAACACCCAAAATACACACACACACACACACACACACACACACACACACACACACACACACACACACACACACACACACACACACACACACACATATATATATATATATATATATATATATATATATATATATATATATATATATATATATATATATATATATATATATATACACACTTGAACAACTAATCATGTAACTTAACGAAAAATACTAAATTTGGGAATCCATGGGTTATACCTCGAGCATCCTTGATCTAGCCAACACCATTACTAAGCTCTTCTTCTTCTCCCTTCATCTTCCTTCTCCAAACCAAAACATAGCAACAACTTCACCATTTCCACTCACAAGCACACAAACAAACCCACATAAATACATCATCTTAACAACTTAAACTAGAGAATGGAATGGAAGAAGAGAGGAGGAAGCTTACCAAATCTTGGACCTAGGTTTTTGGAAGATGAAGCTTCAAAGATGAAGGAGGAAAAAATATATCAGAGAGAGAGAGAGAGAGCTTCATGTGAGAGATGAGAGATGAGTGCTGTTGATTTCTATTGAATGAATAGTGCAACAAGGGAAAATGCTATCTCTTATAGTTAGGGTTTTGAGGGTAGAAATGTAAAATAAAATTGTAGGGTTCACCTTGCATCATGAACCATAGTCTAAAAAGTTGATTTTAAATAGTTTGGGGTCAAAATAGATTTTTCTAAAGATGATTTCTAAACAAACACTTGGTTCAGGTTTCTCCCAGTCTCACTCAGACTAGTTTCTCAGTTTAAAACTTGGTATGCGAAGTACCTGGAAATTTAGGATTTTGGAATTAAAATAAATTTCGGTGTTGAATTAATTTAAAATGTAACTCAAAATAATTTATTAAAACACCAATTTATAAAATTAAAAAAAATTAATAGAGCAAAAATGACTATTTTGGGATTTCTTAAAATTGGATTTATAAAATTAAATTTTGGGTTGTCAAAAGTAAGTACCTTTTAAATAAGGTTTCTCGCATGAAACTCAATAAGGCTCCTTACGAGTTGTGGAAAAGTAGGAAGTTTTCCTACTAATACCTGAAATGTAGGGTTGTCTTGCCAAAATGGTAATTGGTTCTTAGTACACGAGTCCTATGGTCTGGACGTACATAAGAACACGTTAACTAGAAATTCATCGTTCTTTGAAGATGTATTTTTGTGAAGGTCTAATGAGGGACCTTGCACGTTGAAATGAATGTTCGACGTAGCTGAAATTAGAGGGTCTGAAAGAGATCCCGAGCTCGAAGCTAGACGTAGGAAGCGAGCTAGGATTAAAAAATCTTGTGGTCAAGATTTTCTGACGTATATGTTAGAGTGTGATGCACATATTCTAACTTGTTTACTAGGAAATGAACAGGATTGTAACACCCCCGATTCACAACACAACAGATGTAAATAAGATGCGAAAGCTAAGTCAATTCATACGGGGATGTTATGCCACATTTAGGTTAAACACAGCCCAAATGCTAAGGATAGTCTAAAATCCTCAAACAAAACAACATAACAAGTACTAGTCATAGTCTGTCAAACAACATAGTTTAGCATGAGGCTCACAGGCTACTAAACAGGAAAAAAACTAAGAAGTCTATCTACATGTTAGAAGCTAGTCTCGAACTATCGCGCTCTCAAAGCTGGACTACTCCATACCTGAAAACATATTTTTAAAAGATTAGTGAGAGATGCTAAGTAACCCCACTCCAAAATGTAAAAACTACATATGTATACTTTTATAGTGAAAATAGTTTTTGCGACGGTATGACTACATACATATTCATACAAACGGACTCAGCTGAAAGATGTCCAACACGGATACTCAATCAACAATATTCAAAGTCTAGGGGCACTAGACCCATTTCAAGAAAATACAAGGTTCAATAATCAACTCAAGAGATATAATCAAAGAAATGTCTCAATCCAACAATCAAACAAAACTCAAAGATAGGGTAGGATATAACCATCATAGGGGAAGGATTCCAACAACAAGATTGATTTCCTAAAGATTATCAACAAAGAGGTAGAATTTACAAAACATGCAATTCAATCACATAATCCAAGTATGGCTCAATTCTCATCACAATTACATCAATATCTATCTCAAGTCCTCACAGGGACATCAATAATTCAAATACCGCGGAGTCAATCTCAATGACTCGAATACCTGTGGATAAGTGTGGAGGGCTCCCAGACCGCAAAATGTCACCAAGTGACCAATCAATCAAAGTCCAATGGAAACAAATCTGGCAACTTTAAGTGTATACAACCCCTATTGAGATTCCAAGCCCAACGGGTTAGCTACTATCTTTGAAAACCCGGGATACGTTTTTACCAGGTTTCCCGCAAATCAATAATCCAAACGGCAACCCCAAGCTTTCCACACTACTGGATCACTTAACAATGTTTTATCTGGGCTTTCCACACCACCGACCTATCCAGAGCTTCCCACACCAACAGGACCCATTACAAATAGAGCCAGAGGTCCACCAATCTAATATCAGTATCAAATAAGTCCCCACATTGTCCACTGTCCCAGCATAACAATCTCAACAAGGTTTCAAGTCAACAAAAGAGTCATACGAAGCTAAGGCAATAGAATAGGCTCTCACGTGAATGATAATCAACAATAAGCTCAAGGAAATAGCTCATCAATAACGGGTTCTAAAGATATAGCAACAATGAATGGATCTCAACTCAACATCTCAACAGATTTCAAGAAGAAGGGTTCAAAGATAATAAGTTCAAGTCAAATTCAACAAGATTCCAAGATAAAGATTACAACAGGGTCATACTACCATCATGAACTAATTATACTATCATGCAAACCAACAAAAAGCTCACAAGAATACTTAAAGAAGAATTTATAAGCATTCTAGATACAAATTCAACAATAAATCATGGGAATGTCAAAAATAGGTATTATCAACGATTCAAGGCTCAAGACTCAATCAAAACAAGCTCATAATACTCAGCTCTAGGCACTGGAAAGCTTCAACATCCATTTCAAATCAACTGGAGCAATTAGAATGACACAGTACAGAAAACAGCCAAAATGAACCAAGAGGGGGTGTGAACGGGTAGAAGTACCCGCCTAAACTCCCCTTGGGAACCTGACGGGGGGTTTGGACGTGTGCAACCACCCTTAGCCTCCTAGAAGGGGGTTCCAACGGGTGGTAACCCCCCTGGACCCTTCTTCTAGGTCAAACAATGAAACGTTTCCAGTAAGTTCAAAATCAGACTCCAGAATACAAAATGCAAGTTTAACAGCTTAAAATCAAGGATTATCATGTCATAACTCATCAAGGAAATTTAGAATAAAAGATTGGAATAATAACACAACAAGATACTCAAGATTCAACATCAAAAGCAAGCATATAAAGAAGAAATATGCTCAAAAAACCAACAACTCAGTGAATGTTCATATATGGAGTGAAAATTGGTTTTAAGGACACGGAGTTACCTTCTAGCTAGCCAAACACTTCCAAATCCACACTAGCTCATCATAGCAAGACCCCATCTCCGTGATCATCTTCAAAAGCCCCAAAAACCCAACACATAAAAGAATAAGTTTTAGAAAGATGAAGAAACTAGGAATGGAAAAGGTGTAGGAACTAAGATCTTATCACCCCTAGCTTAAAAAGCTAGAAAGATGAAGTCTTGACTTGATTTCTTGAGTAGGAAATGAAGAATAGTTTTGGTAGGGAAAATAGGGTAAAGTGGTGTGAGAGACAAGTGTGAAAGAAGGGAAATTCTAGGTTTTGTCTTGATAGGGAAATGAAGACATACAATAGTGTATATACAATATATTATAAGATTGACATATGGGTTATAAATGTATGGGCTAGTTTATAAGAATAAAGGAATTAAATTGGGCATTTTGAAATTATAAGGGAAACATATCATATATTATATATTCTAAGACTAGGCCCACTTTATTAAGTCTTAGAAGGATATATATATATATATATATATATATATATAGAATCGCACTCAGGTGCGAATGCTTCGTCCAGGAGCGAAATAGGAATGAATTCTGTCTGTCCACGTGTCCAGATCTAATGGATGAGAAACACTGATTTTTTAAAAAAACGCGGTGGTATTTTCGTAAATAATTGAACATCGAAGTGCAAGTAAAATGTATTACAAGTGCATGTAAAATGTATTATAGGTGCAACTAAAAATTTACACTGAGCATCAATACTAAGTGCACCTATAGTTATAAGTAGTTGCACATATAGTTCCAAGTAGTTGCACACATAGTTATAAGTAGTTGCATCTAGGTGCATGAATGTTTGCGGGTTGTTTACAGGGGTATTACTACCCGTTGAACTAAGATCAATGAATGTTAACAAGGCAAAATTACATGCACTTATAAGTGAAAGTAGGTGCACCTATAGTTATAAGTAGTTGCACCTATACTTATAAATAGTTGCACCTATAGTTATAAGCACACCCAGGTGCATGATGTTTGCGGGAAGTGAATGCTAACAAGGAAAAATTACATGCACTTATAGGTGAAAGTATGTGCACTTGTAAGTGATTTTACTTGCACTTCGATGTTCAATTATTTACAACAATGCCACTGCGTTTTTTTAAGCTATTAGATCTGGACACGTGTCACGCGCTGATTCTTTCGCATATTCCTTCTTGGGCACTTATTCGCACCTGAGTGCATCCCTATATATATATATATATATATATATATATATATATATATATATATATATATATATATATATATATATATATATATATATATATATATATAGGCTGCGGATCCTGTGCAACCCCTATGATACATGAGATCATGAGATCCCATCTCATCCATTAATAAATTTTCAATGGATGGATATGATTCAAAGTCAAATATCAATTATTTAAAGATAGATTTAAATGAGAAGAGTGTAAGAGTAATTCTATGGTGTTTAATTTTGGCTATTAGTAAAATAGAATCTTTACCTAATAAAAGGGATCCTATCAATGGTAATAATTAATTATAATTTTTTTGTATTCTGAGATTTGGAAGAAGAAACATGCTAAGAAGAAATAGTAATATGAGATTTGTATGTGTGACTGTGGTGTGTGCATTTGTGTGGTAGGGCGTGTGCAAATTTCTGAAACTTTACATCATGTCGTTTTTGTTTTTGTTTCGTTTTGTTTTTTTTTTCTTTTTTTTTTTTTTACGATGGAGTATGTATTTTTGTGATATGGCGTGTGCAAATTTGTTGCAATGGAACTTTGCATCATATCAATTTTTTTACGGCGGTGTGTGCATTTGTATGGTTTTGTGTTTGCAAATTTTTGGCAAAGGAACTTAGCATCATATAATTTTAAAAAAAAAAAAATTTACGCTGGTGTGTGCATTTGTGTGGTATGGCGTGTGCAAAAAAAAATATATCATGGTTTATATAGATAAAAAAAAATCAACAAGAATTAACGCACACACCATACCAGAACAATGCACATCGTTGTAAGATTGCATTTTGAAATAAAATAGTAATAAATGCGTGTTTATTAAACTGGTGTGTGCACGTAATGAAGTAGGTGGATGCATAGGAATGAGCACGTAGGTATTTGCTAAGTAGGTTATATTTCACAACTATATGGCGTGTGCACACACGAGTGACCGTATGTGCGTTATGCTGGTGACAGTAAGAGAGAGAAATATTGAAAATTGATTGAGGCAAAAAATAACGCTACAAATCTTTATAAACATATAAATAAATGAAATGGAAAATAATAAATACAGTGATTAAGGACAAAAACACCCATGGCTTCATCTAAAATCAGTACCATGTGTGATCCAAGTGAAATCAATCTAAACCGTTGAAAATAAAAATAAACGCACAGGATGTGGCCTCACGATCTCACCTGTATTCAAAATCTACATATATATATATATATATATATATATATATATATATATATATATATATATATATATGTATATATATATATATATATATATATATATATATATATATATATATATATATATATATATATATATATATATATATATATATATTATTTATTTATTTAAAGACTGGAAAATTGAGTTTAGAATGATTTCATGCTAGAAATAATTAGGCAAAAGATTGGGCTTTAATGAAAGAGTAAATCCCTTATTAGAAGAATAATTATAGGAGTTAATTCGGAAATTCAAATAATTTTCGGGGTGTCACACTCTTTCCCTCCTTAAAAGAGCTTTGTCCTCGAAGCTTGGGTTCGAGTGGAAGGTAGGATTTGGAAATAATCAAGGATTCAAATCAAGGTGGATAGATTGGTAGGATTTAGAAATAGGTTGAAGGTTCAAATTGGTTACAAGAATGAAGGGTAAGATGCGTGATAGGATACTTATTATAAGGGAATTCTAGTCATAACTCTAAACTCTGATTCAACTAACACCTAGCACTGATCTACCCAATTCTAGATAATAGAAACTAAAGAAAGACACATACTTAGAAGGGTACCTGCATCCACTTAATTGGTTTTGGCTTGCGTCGGACTCATGACGTAGATCTTGCCTTGCGGGGGTCCCAGCCTCACATTCAGACTCTTAGTGTTTCCTCCAATTCCTCCATCGTTGCTCCCACTTCGAAACTGGCCTCCCGACTGGGGTCTCACACTACCAGTTGGACTTGGGTTTGATGATGTCTTACTCTTAACCAAGCACTCAAAGGAACTGTGACCTTTCTTGCTACAAGCGAAGCACTCTACAAGCCTCCCATGACAATCCACGTCGGGGTGATCATTTCCACACATCTTGCAGTCGTAGTGCCTTCCCTTGGCCGCATTGTTCCCGATTGGCTGGGGAGTCTTACCACCATTGAAATCGTTTCTTTGGAAGCTTCTTGCTGGATCGGCATTGGTAACTGTTGGTCCCATATAAATAGGTGCACCCCTCCCTTCACTTTTCCTCTTACGCCTTTCCTGGACTCCTCTCTGAATCTGTTGCACACGATAAAGATCAGCTACGTAAAAGTAGGCCTCACTGAGGGTCCTGGGTTTCGATACCGTCAAGGCTTTCCTAGCTTCAATGAGCATAGTCACAAACTTCTCAACCTTTATTGCCTTGATGGGTACCAAGGTCAAGGCAAAGCGCGCCAGCTCAAAGAATCTCTTGTGGTATTCCATCACCGATGAAGATCCTTGTTGAAGGTGGAGGAACTCCTCGTACAATGCTACTTTGACATGTGTGGAATAAAAGCGTTCACGTAGTTTATCTTTCAACCCTTCCCAACTGACACTCGGGTCTTTCCTGCACACTAGCCCTTCATGGGTCCACCACAAGTCGACCTCCTGCCTGAAGTAAAACGTGGCCATCTCCACTCGACGATCTTTCGAGAAATCCACCACGTCCAGAATCTTATCAAAGGTACGAATCCACTCCTCCAACACTGTCGGATATTCCTCCCCTGCAAAGGTAGGTGGGTGGTGTCCCGCCACCAGTCGTACTACATCCCTATTCCCGCGATGATTATTGTTCAAAAGGGCATTGCTCAAGGTCTGAATAATCTAAGTAAGCTGATGGAGGTTCTGTGCTAGCTGTTCATTGGTCGGAGTCTCGGGTGTAGCGGCGCGTCTCCCGTGCGGTGCTATCCCGAATTCTACAGAACAATACTAGTTATCGAGTTAACTAGGAATAATGCACCCTTACCGGTGCAGCAGCCAAAACTAATAGAACTAAGTAAGGCAACAGATTAACAGAAACTTCAACAAAAGCACAAGGTAAACGCACAATCTCACTGCGGTCCCTAAGTTTCCTATAATTCAAATGCTTAAACACTTAAAGGCATAGCTTAACGTCTCAAAGTCTTGATCTTAAGGAACTACCCTAAGCTCAAACCTAGGCTTTGATACCATCTGTAACACCGCCGATTCACAACACAACTGATGTAAATAAGTTGCGGAAGCTAAAGCTAGTCAAAAATCCTCAAACAAAACAACATAACAAGTAATATTCATAGTCTGTCAAACAACATAGTTTAGCATGAGGCTCACAACCCACTAAACAGTTACTAAGAAGTCTATCTACAAGGTAGAACCTAGTCTCAAACTAGCGTGCTCTCAAAGCTGGACTACTCCATACCGGAAAACATGTTTTTAAAAGATCAGAGAGAAATTCTAAGTAACCCCACTCCAAAATGTAAAAACTACATATGTATACTTTTATAGTCAAAATAGTTTTTGCAACGGTATGACTACATACATATATCATACCAACGGACTCAGCTGAAAGAAGTCCAAGACTGATACTGTAACACCCCCATTTTTTCCAAAACCAAAATCTGAGAAAATTTTAATTACTTTTTTTTTCTTTTATTTAATTATAAAACATTGTTTAAATTGCGGAAGCTAAAAACAAAACGAGGGAATAGGGGATGCTACCGCCACGTTTAGATATCATATCTAAACGCACAGGCTAAAACCAATACTACTAAAACAACCCATAATTTATACTATTACAGTGAATTAAATACAATTGTCTAAATTATCTAATAAATTATAAAACTACAAAAATTAATCTAAAAGGGTGAAACCGTGAAAATCGCTCTCATGCTTCAAATGTCATTCAAGATGTACCTGCAAAATAATTAAAGAATATAAAACAAAGAAGCACACAGATTCAGCATTAAGCTTGTAAGATCTACTTCACTCCATAAAACATTTTTGCACATAGCACATAGGAGCAGATAATTGGCATATAACATAAACCCTTTAAACATTTAATCTTTTCTTATCAATAGAGTATAATCATATAGAACATAACTCAAATATGAAATACTCAGAATTTCCAACCATAATTTCCCAACAATACTCAAAATTTTTAATACCAAATCAGTAGTTCTCACAATGGATATTTTAGGAACCTTTCAAATGTAATATTTTTTTCCAACATGGAGGAACACCAATTTTCAACATAATGGGCAGGGTCTTGTCTCATCAAGCCCTAGTGAACAGTAATCACCATACTGAACACTACACAAAATCCCATTCAATCTGAAATAATGGGCAGGGTCTTAATTATTTAAGCCCTAGTGAACAGTAATAACTTTACTGAACACTACGTAGAAATCCCATTTAAACCAACAAAATAATGGGCAGGGTCTTATTCAATAAGCCCTAGTGAATAGTAGTCACTGTACTGAACACTACGCAAAAATCCCATTTAAAGTGGAACAGAACTAATACCTTAAGTGTGCACACCCCCAATGGGTTTCCAAGCCCAATGGGTAGTAACTAGTCCTAGTAGCCAGTGTAAACACAAAAATGTAAACTTTGTATATATTCACAAAATCTGTTGTGTACAGCGTGTGTATAATTCAATGTGCAGGTACAAAATCTCTGTGTAGTCCTCTGATTCTTCACTAACGTTGTCTTCTGAAGTGCCTCCGGGATTCAAATAGCGTAGCCTCCGGGATTCAAATGGCGCGTGCCTCCGGGATTCAAACGGCGTAGCTTCCGGGATTCAAGTGGCGTGGCTTCCGACAACGAGCGTCAAGAATTTAGAAATAATCGACCATGCAATGGATTCAAATTGCCTGCAAAATCAACAAAAAATGCGTTCAAGTCTTCAAGCGTTCTTCAATGCCGTTATCTATTGAAGTGCCTCTAGGATTCAAATAGCGTAGCCTCCGGGATTCAAGTGGCGCGTGCCTCCGGGATTTAAACGGTGTAGCTTCCGGGATTCAATTGACGTGATCTTCAATAGCAAACATCAAGCTCCGAAGCAATTAACTCTGCAAAACATTAATTAAAGCGCCTGCAATGGCTTCAAGTTGCCTTCAAAAGGCTCCAAGATCTTCAAAGTACCTACAAAAAGGCTTCAAGTTGCTTCAAGATCTTTAAAACCTGCAAAAAATGCCTTCAATGCCTTTAATTCTTCAAGATCTTCAAATGCCTTCAAAAGAGCTCTCAAATCTTCAAGCCTTCAAGTTGTTAAGCGTTCTGCAATGGCTTCAAGCTCTCAAGTCTTCAAATTGTTCTCAATGTATTTAAGGTGTGATTTGAAGAATGGAATTGAGGCTCTATTTATAGTGAAGTTTGTAACTAAAATCCATCAACAAACTCCACTAATATTTATTTAATTAAATTAATTAATTATCTACTAAAATGAACCTTGCCAAAATCAAGTCTAGGTTCATTATTCTATCATCTAATTCAAATTCAAATTAAATTATAATTATCTAATTCAAATATAATAAAATCATATTATATTTAAATTATAATTATAATTATAATTCAATTATGAAATGGGTTTGGACCAATTAATTACTTAATTCAATAGCCCAAATCAAATTTACTTGGACTAATTAAATTAATTTAATTATCATAGCTCAATTAATTAAATTGGACTAATGATCAACCCTGAAATTGGGCTCGATAATGATTTAATCGGTCCACTTGTCGGCTTCAAATTTTCTGTGTCTACAAATTGCCCCCTCGAGACTTTCTTGGACATGCCACTTGAGAGCATACACTGCTTGAAAGTATGTAGTGCATGGAAGTCTCGAAACTATAAGGCCATTTCAACTCGTGCCAAGGAGCCTTGTGGGATATGAGGCTGTTTCGATTAGTGCCGGGGAGCCTTGAAGTAATATGAGGCAGTTTTGACTCGTGCCGGGAGTCTTGAAGTAATATGAGCGTTTTCAATTCACATAGAGGAAGCTTGCAGAATATTTCTTCCATCACATATTGTGGTGTAATGTGTTGAGGCACATTCTTCTCCAGCATATGGGTTGATTTGAGGAATTTTCATCTTCATTCCTTGGTTAGTTGGAGTAATATGGAACCACTTCGGCACGTAATCTGCCAATATGACTGGAACTCGTGCTTTCATATGGTGGCTGCAAGTCCTCCCATCAATAGGGCCCTGTAACATTCTTTTCTTGACCCACCTTTTCATAACTTGCTTAGATGGTCGTGTCGAATCATCAACGTAGTGTTGTTTAGCATGCTTAATACCATGCCAAGTATCATACTCGGGTTTGGTATCATAAGACTTGATGTTAAGAGGGAATAAACACTTGTGTCGTTTTCTATTTCCCTTCACATTGTTCCTCTCAATGAGTAGCGAAGTAGATTTACCGCATGAGATGGAAACTTGATTAGCGCTTTCTGTGGCATCTGCAAGTTCAATTCTCCCATCTCGAGCTAACTCCATTACTTTATCCTTAAAGACAAAGCAATTTTCAATTGGATGTCCGACAAGTCTGTGATACTTGCAATAACTCGGATCATCCACCATTGATGCCTCGTGTGGTCGCCTCATTTCTGGAAAATGAACGAGATTGTGCTTTAGTAGCTCATCAAACATATGTGGGACATCAGAATCCAAGAATGGATACTTCTTGTTTTGTCTTTCCCTAAAAGAAAGCCTTCTACTACCCCGTAATGATCTAGAAGCACCCTTAGACTCATTAGTAGCTTCAGTGAATATCCTAGCTGGTTGAATATTCACATGCATAGCGTCCATGCTTTCATATTTCTTAAAGGCCTTGCCGCCATTTTCAACGTCATCATGACTCTTGCCCCCATTGTAGAAGCTTTGAATGGGTATGTTTTGTTCACCATTAGCTGTCATGCTTAACTCCATATCGTGGGCACGACTAGATAATTCCTCAAAAGTCTTAGGCTTGAGCCCTTGGAGGATGTAGGAGAGCTCGAAGTGCATGCCTTGGATGCACATTTCAATCGCGGAGCTCTGTGATATCTTTTCCTTGCAATTCAAGCATAACTCCCTCCATCTTTCAATGTAAGCGGTCGAGCTTTCACCATTCCTTTGGCGAGTGGTGGTGAGTTCTAAGAAGCTGACGGTTCTTCTTGTGCTGTAGAAGCGGGTAAAGAACTCGCGCTCCATGTCATGCCAACTATCAATGCAGCTAGGCTCCAAGTCAGTGTACCAATTGAAGGCAGTAGCCTTCAAAGAGCGGACGAACTGCTTGACAAGAAGATCTCCATATGTCCCAGCGTCGTTGCATGTTTCCACGAAGTGGGCGATGTGTTGTCTTGGATTGCCTTTCCCATCGAATTGTTGAAATTCTGGAGGTTGATATCCAATGGGCATCTTCAAATCCTCTATCCTTTGGGTGTAAGGCTTGGTGTAAGTGTATGAAGGTTTTTCCCCCTCGAGCTTTCCTTTGATAGCTCCCATGATGAACTCGTTAAGCCGATCTACTGGTACCATGCCCCCTGTGACTGGAATGCTCCTGTCCGAACTTGGTATGTGCGAAGTTGATTCCTCGTGCACTGTAGTTCGCCCAATGAAAGTTGGTGAGTGCGAGGCATCTTCTCCTTGAACCTCGGGTTGTTTTCCAAGAGCCCAGCTAGTTTCACCATTCCTTGTGCTCTCGACCTTTTCAGCTAAGTCGTTGATTCTCTTTTCTTGGTTTTGAAGGAGGGTGGTAATCCCTTCAAGCGCCTTAGTGATGCTCGCAAGCTGGTCTTCTATATTTGTCGCGCTTGTTGTCATAGCCGGCATGCCTGTATAGATGCGTGACCATTCTGGCGCGACCTTCCACATGCTGGACGATTGCGATGTCGGTGACGAGCCTCCGGTGTTAGCGTTTCCTTTTGGGGATGTTGGACTCCCGCTACCAGCAACTCCTTTCAGAGATGTTGGATTCCCGCTATCGGCAGCTTCTTTCAGAGATGTTGGATAACTCTCGCTACCAGTTGCTCCTTTTGGGGTAGTCGACTTCTCGCTATTAGCCGCTCCTTCTGAGGTAGATGACTTCTCGCTATTCGCCGCTTCTTTCGAAGATGTCACCATCTCGCTACCGCCACGTTTAGATATCATATCTAAACGCACAGGCTAAAACCAATACTACTAAAACAACCCATAATTTATACTATTACAGTGA